TCAAAGAGACAAATGAAGTCAATCCTTAAACTAGCAAATCTCCTCTTTCTATATTCTGATCATCAATTAACCTAATAAAGTAGTGAGAGTTCTTTACCAAAAAACTTCCAAGTTTTGGAGGTTTGCTTTAACTGATAACATATAAATCTTGATGCTTTATGCATCACTATACCTCTTTTTTTTATAATTATCCAAAGTAGGGTCCTTGCTTATGAACGAGGCAATCAAGGCTTGGGAATTAATTCTAGATCAGCACCCTGAACTTAAAACAGGTAAAGAGTTAATCAAAGGTTCAATAATTATATTAGTCAATTTGAGTAGAAATAGCCATTGTTCAGGAGAAGGAGATTGGATTAGCCTCACTTCTCATGACATCTTAATTATATATACACATTAAACAATAGCACAAACCCAAAGCTGAATCAATACATGATGATCGTGCACTAGTTTATTTGTGTTAACAGGCAGCTACTAACAAACATGCTTCAGGTTCAGGAAGTGACTTCATTTATTTGCAAGCATGTAGGGGATAGCTAAGTAGTCAACCAACTCAGGAGTTACTTCACTAAGATCGCGAAGTTGGATGTATAAAAAGTGACAAGGGTTGCAGCAGGCCACTTTTGCTCTTGGCTTAGAAGTATGGATTCCTGTTCTGATTTTTTCTGTCACAGTGCAGACAAAAGTTTAGCACGGGTTGATCAGGGTTGTAGGACGGTGAGCCGAGGATCTTTTCGGACAATACAAGTCTTTCATATGTGGCAATCCTTCTTCGATTTCCGGTGAGACATCACGAATTCCTTTCACTCAACTTTTCCTTAGAATTAAGAAGTCATGTCACAAAGTAATTCTTCGAAACCCAGTTTTTCTCCATATCTTAGAAGTAGTTACTATTTATGTTAGGAAGCTGTTAGGAAGCTTTTTGTTGCGTTGTGAAACCGTATGTGTAAATTTTCTTTTGTTCCATGCTATTTCGTAAAGGATTTGCCGTACAGATAGGTAATCAATCTACTCACTTTCTTAACCTTT